TTTCCACATGTTTTCCCCATGATCCCTCATGTTTTGTTTTATGATCCACATGTTTTTTTGCCACTGTGGCTACTACCAGGAATTTTACCACGAGGATTCTTCGGTTCAATGCGTAACTCGAGTTTTATTACAAACTAGCCGTTCTGGGATCATCTATCAGAATCCACCAGAAGAAGCGCCCCTTAAAATTTGTAATATGACGGGATAAATATAAAACTTTGCCGATTAATACAAACATTTTAAGTCTGGCTTCTCTCATTGACTCGCTGATCATTGAAATTGAGCAAAATCTCTGTGCGGCCATCAATCATTGGCGAAAATATCTAGCCTCTAATCGATTCGCAAACAATTATGTCACACAGAAAATTTGATAAATTGTATGATTTTAACCATTCTTTTCGGAAACATTCACCTAAGGACATTTTACACCCCCAAGTTCTTGGTTTTAGACACGGTTTTCACTTTCTCACCTGCGAAGCTCCAGAAAAATAATAAGCCTCCTCTCCCTTGATTTTGATCACAAAATATATACGCTTCTCTTGCCACTCCCCCTTTCTATTTGTGAGTATCTTCTGTGCTGCAGTTCCAATATTGCGAGGTAGAGCGACTATTCATGCCTAAGAGATGTCGTTGAAGTCTAACTGACGAACTGAAGGCACTCTTTCATTCAAAGTCCTCGTATTCTGCCGTGCGCTAAGGAAAAACGCCGTAGAACATTCGAGAGTTGTCAAATTTCTGCAGATAAAACATGTATTATTGTGGATAGTTGAACATGTTTTTCCTTGAAATTCTCAGATATTTCAGATTAAATTGTGAACTAAATTGTCTGAAGATTTTGAAAAATGGTATTCACAATTTTCCCAGGAAATTCGCGTTTTGCCGATGATAATATGGCAACGTCTGAAGACTCATACGGCGTTCTTCCTTAGCACGGCAGTATGGAAACCCGCCGCACAAGGAAACAAGCATTTCTGAAAGATTGAACATGAATTTTTCGCCTGAAACTGCATATTTTTTTGTCTTGTGAAGCGCCTCACATCATAAATTGCATGGAGTGCTACTTGAAGGAAATTTTGCGATATTATCAATGGAACTGCTTCTAAAATTTCTATGTTCCTTAGTATGAGCTTTTAATTTGTCCATATTTTGTACGACTCGCTTCATTGATTCTCTCCAGGTGCACCGCCGCTGCGCTGGTGAGGTACTGTCTGAAATCAAAACGCCTTCCCTTCCGCGCGTATGCAACACGGGCATCCGTGGAGCCCGAATAGTTGCATCCAGGCGTTATAATGAAATTCGTTTAGTATCCGTCGCACGCGACACTGACTGAAGCTTCAACTGTCTACTTTCTTTCACACCTCAACTTAATTCCAGCGTTACCTATTCGGCCGATGAAGTAAACCATTACTGATTTTTATCGCGACATCGTTAATTTTCCGAGGAGTGCATCATTCAAATGAAGTAAAACACTGCCCGAAGATAAAGTAGGTATCTGATCATGATATGTACGCAGTTTTCTTTAACCTACTTTGATGAGTCGTCCTTTGTTTGGACTTTTTTCGTTTTTTCCTCCTTGACGAAAACTAATTTTGACGTTTCGGTGCGAAATTTGCAAAGAATAATCCTGATGAAGTGGAATTTGGAACAAAACCGATAGCCTGTGTCACACTATCAAAGCCAACCATCAAAATATCTAGGTCAGGAGTTGTGATTGGCTTACTCGATGAGTTGGACCAATCACAGCACTTGACCTTGACATTTTGATGTGGTATTTTGATAGTTTGACACAGGCTGATGACCGACGTTTCGAAAAAGTGAAATGCAACGGAAAGTCTTTTTCATGACATGTCTAAATATACGGATATGATTTCCTACGTGCAATGGCGAGTTTAAGGCACAATTAAGTCAAGTAAATATATCAGTAAAAATTATATTATGTTCTGCTGTTTCCCTCCGGAGTTGTTCCGGAGAGTTTGTTGTGTTTAGTAGTATTTTGATATGGGTGATGGAAAGAATATATAGTTTCACATGCAAGCGAGAAACTTTCCATAATGATGGTATTGTTTCTCCCTCGAGCCCTCATATGTTCAATCTGTTAAATTGAATAACAATGCGCATGTTTTTTCTTATAGTATTAACCCAATTTAAAAATCGGCGACATTCTTTCTCTCATGATCGCTCAAGGTAGTATCAATCTGAGAATGAAAGTAATCCATCCGAAACTACCATCCACCTCCAAATCATCCGAAAAATTCAATGCTGAAGATAGATGATATTTCCGAGAAACATTTCTTTATAATTGACAGAAGAATATCTTGTAATTGGTCAAGGTTTTTGTGTCACCTTTAGATTCTACATCTGAAAAAATATGCGATAAATACACCTTGCGCACATTTCACGCTGAAATGTACAGCGAGGAATCCATTCGTGGGGTGCATGCCTTTGCTCAGATAGAGTTCATACGTCCATGAAGATTCAGCGCAAGGATGCAACTTAAGTTTCGCAATCCAAACAATTCAAACGACCAGTTGGATCTGCCGTATTTATTTGGAATTTTCGGTAAATTTATCTCATAAAATGCATTTAGCCCACATAGAGTCTCAATATACTAAACTTTAGGGGTACTTCAACACAGTTCCTAATTTCAATCGGGATCGCAATGACCTCCTCTCCGTAGCAGAGGCTTGGCGTTTTTTGCGATATATCGATTGATCTGCCACTTAAACCTATGGAAAAGAATCGATAGACAGGGTGTTCGTAACGAACACCTTAATAATCGATTCTTAACTATAGCCTTAAATGGAGAAATATCGATAATCGATTGTTCACGCCACGCCACTGCTCCGTAGAATGTTGCATTTATCTTCTTACGGACCGTTCAAGTATTACGTGACGCACTTAGGGGGAGATGGGGGGAGTTTGAGCCTGCGTTATGGTGCGTAACAAGGAGAGGAGGAAGGGGGTGTCAAGCCCAGCGCTACGTAAGAAATCCGAGGGGGAGGGAACTTTGAGAAAAAGTGCGTCTTCCTGGACATTCTTCTTCTTTTTTTATTTCAATGTGTTTTCAATTGTAAAAAAATAAAAATAAGGTAATAATGTGCGGAGATTTTAACGTCGCAATCGGTAATACGGAGTTTTCGACAGCATAGCCATTAGGAGATTATGCTTTAAATTGGTGTGTATCACCGCAATCTATGAGACATATTACTAATGAAGGCCATAACTGACAATATAGTTTACGGAATAATAAAATGACGAATTTTTCGACAATATTGAGAGCAATTGTGCAGAAGGGATGGAAACAGACTGTGAAGGCAAATTGAAATTTTCATTAATCTTCGTCGGGTTAAATCCTATTTCAAACACCTACTGAATGAAAAGTGTGATCATTCGACTTGGGTGTAAGTCCTCTTAATCTCGTCCTTAATTTCAAAACATACTTGCAGCGAACCAGTTAATCGGTTTATGTGCCAGTGTCTTGTGTTTTAATAAGCGCGAGTTATGCACTCAACTTTCATTTCTTTCAGTTTCTCTCATTTCTTTTAACCTGGTGGTCGGCTTATTTTAATCCCACCTAGCAGGTCTCCCGTCCATATTTCCACTGTCTATGTATTTACGTATGTCTGTGTGTTAGTCTATGAATGCCGCTGAATTGGTGTATGTTTACGTGATGTCATTTCTACAGTCGTATATCTATCATCTTAACATGTTACAGGTTGTTTTTTTAATGGTTGAAACAATGCAATATACTAAAATTCGCTGGATGCATCAAAGGTCTCAATGTCGGTGGACCCTTGAATGAAAGTTGCACCCAAGTTGCATTTAGCGTGCGGGACAGTAAAAGAGGGATCGTGTTTTGAACATTGGATTTTAAGATGAAGATAGCGTCATTCTCACAAAAACCCTTTTCTTATGCTGAGTATGAGCCTACTGTGAAAGCTTGATATAATGGCTGGAAATAAAAGCCGAAAATAAAAAATTTATCGTTTCATTTTCTCTTTTTGCAAATTTAGACCAATAAGTTGGATAACTCTTGCCAAACTCTGTCTTGTAGTGGGGAGGCGTGAATAATCGATTTTCTATATTTCTCCATATGAAGCTGCACGTGTTCAAGAATCAACTGCTAAGGTATTCGTTGCGAACACTCTGTTTATCGATTCTTTTCCATAGGTTTAAAAGACAGATTAATCGATGTACCTATCACAAAGCATACGCCATGCCTCTGCTGTCCCGGGCTTCCAATCATAGTTATTTCATGATCTTACCCACGTGTAGAGTCGTATTATGCGTCAACTCCTCCGTTTAGGTTTCCTGGCTTAATAGTATACAATCACTACTCATAGTTTTAGATGATTATAACTGTTGCGTGCTTGAATTTCTAGATTTGTCAGGAAATTTTTTAATTTATTCATCTCATTAAACTTATATTCAACTAATATTTTCTTCGGGGACAGTTTTTACCACTACGAAAATTTGCCTTTGAGTGTACCAAGCTTCAGAAATCTCTGCGATATTTCTAATAGAACTTACATTACCTCATGAGAATAAAATCTCACTCGCAAGATATAGATTATGATAAAGGTACAAATCAATAATACCTTTTATCTATCCTGGGAAGTTCGTCGTAAAAAATTAAAAGAATTGCCCACAGATGAGGGGAAAATTTGATTTCTTCACCAAATTGGAGCTCTTCTTTTCATGCAAGTCCATTTTTTATTATATTTAAAAGAAATATAGACAATTTGAAACGATTGAGCGATACGAAAGCAATTTGATTGAAATTCGTATGTTCGATTCAAGCTCTACTTCCTATTGAGTTACCACGATTCAAAAAGGAGTCTAAAAATTGGCAACGATGAATGCTCGTTGAGATTTTTGCAATATTTCTCGACCAATCGGCTACAAAGATAAGAGCGGATTTTTTTATTATTATTATTATTATTATTACTATTTATCAAACAAGGGAACATGCGTAGGATAAGAATAAATTTGGAACTTACTTTTTACGAGAAGATTGGCAGAGAATTCTTTCTGATCCTGTGGGTTCCTGAGTTCACGTTACCAGCACTTTCAACCGCTTTGAATTATCACAAATTCAAGATGAGTTTCGCACTGCTTTTTCAAAACAGTAAATTTTTTGCGCGTATCATTTTTTTTCAACCACGGAGCCTCGAGCATTACATTTTTTTTGCACCTGCAGTGCATTAGCATACGCGTGAGCAACAGTTAGAAAAAATTCCATTACCTACACACAACCAGAAACTCAATGATGTGACATACTCAGCGCAACATTTTGAAAATTCTCGGTCGGGATAACGAAGTATAGCTCGGTTGAAACTAGTGCCCGACACAATTTTTGATTCACAACGAGCAAACGGCAAAATGGTGTATGTGAGATTGCAAAGAAAAACCGCGCAGGTATTTCAGAAAAGTTTAAACTTGCGCAACGCGCGAGATTGTATTCCGATGATCATGTACCTGGATTGCCAGTCCTGATTTTATGTCCTGAAGTTCAGTCTTTTTTCTCATTTTTTGTCAAGTGTGCTCAGCCAAAAATAGGTAAGTCATAATTTGTAAAAATGTTCCATTAAACACAAAAACACAGCGTATTTAATGCCGTGCTTTGAAAGAACCCGGTTGAAACCAATTAGAAACTTAAGCCCGACACAATATCCAATTTAAAATATAATTAGACATCAGATGGCGTACCTCGCATCTAACTCTTATAAATTCGATAAAATCGTATTCTTGATTTGGGAGGGGGGTCAATGATTGAGTCTTCTTATTCCAACGACTGTATTAAGTACAGCCCGAAACCTATAAACCTGGATGGAGCTCAACTTTTCAAAAAGTAACTGCACGGAGAAAAATCGCCACGATGATTCTTAAAAGCTCGATAAATTGTATCCTTGATTTAAGAGAGATTGATCGCTGCTGATTTTTAATTCAGCTCGTGGTTAATGTAACATGGACCCCGATAGCTTTATATCCTGATTAAAGCTCAATTTTCCGAAAAACGACTGAATAGCCACAATTTGTTCGTTCCCTCTTTTGCGTTGACACTGTTCACTCGACACGTGGAGACACAGGGATTCTGGGATTGGTAAATTCTACGGCCTAGAATTGGTAAATTTTACGTCCGCGTGATTAATGTAACATGGAGCCCGATAATTTTATATCCTGATTAAAGCTCAACTTTCCGAAAAATGACTGAATAGCCACAATTTGTTCGTTCCCTCTTTTACGATGGCACTGTTCACTCGACACGTGGAAACACGGGGATTTGAGGGTCTGGAATTTGTAAATTCTACGGTCTAGAATTGGTAAATATTACGTCCACGTGATTAACGTAACATGGAGCCCGATAACTTTATATCCTGATTAAAGCTCAACTTTCCGAAAAATGACTGAATAGCCACAATTTGTTCATTTCCTCTTTTACGATGGCACTGTTCACTCGACACGTGGAAACACGGGGATTTGAGGGTCCGGAATTGTAAATTCTACGGTCCAGAATTGGTAAATTTTACGTCCGCGTTGACGGGAGCCCGACGGGACGGACGCGGGATGGCTTTACGCGATGTCAGCGGCGGAGCTTCCGAGCTTGAACTAAGAAGATAAACAAGTTGGAGCCGCGCGGCGCGACGCGGCGTCCCGACGCCCGCGAACAGCGGGGATCCTCGCTCGACGCCGCGCGTCGCGCGTCGAGCTCCGGCCCACGGAAAACAAGTTGATACTCGGATCATACCCACAGGCTGTCTATAAAGTACTTGTCCATAAATTCCATAAACTTGTCCACAATTACCCGTCCCGAGCTGGTGGGAATTTTGACGGTCCGAGAGGCTATGAATGAAATGACGTCAAGAAATTTTAAAAATTTCAACGCGAACGCGGAACACGAAATCCGTCGTTCCCAGGACGAAGAGACGTAACTCCGTTTCAAGGTTGCAAAATTGACTCGAACAATTGAATGTTTTACACTGAAAAAAAATTCTCGGCGTTTTTACCAAGGTCCGTTGGTATCTTTACCATCTTACTTTTTCTTACCAATTATTGGTAATTTTACCAAGACAGACTGGTAAGCTTACCTAAAAACCGGTATTTTTACTGCTTCTTCCAGGTAAGAATGCCACTTTTATTGGTAATCAATTCCCGATAACTTTGCCATTTCATCTCGGTAATTCTACCATAGTCGATAAAAAATATTGGCGTTTTTACCAAGGTCCAGTAAAATTACCGAGAAAGTTCAAAAATTTTACCGAGATTTCCCTGTAAAATTATCAACTCCATAAATGGTAATTTTACCGAAAAACTGGGATCAAATAGAACCCTGAATTCTTGGTAATGTTACCCTTTTCTTACTAAATACACCGAGATTTTTTTTTCAGTGAACGATTGAATGTTTTACAAGAATGCCCTGAGCAATTTTCGGTTGGAACTTTGTCGGGTGTTCGCATTAAGTCAGTAAGGAAATCATTGAAATTCCAATCAGAAAGTCCCAAAACCCTCCTGGTTAAAGTGTAATTTGCGCGGGGAGATTTGGCAACATTGAAATGGAGTTACGTCCTTTCGTGGGAGAAACGAGGGATTTCGGTGATGAGTTATGCGGGTTATTCGGTCGGAGAGGAAACAATAAAATGATTTAAATGATCTTCGAGCAGCGGAGAATTAGGTAACGCCGTGTTCAAAAATAACCTTTATATAACCTTACTCATCCTTTTTTTACTCGAATCCTTTCTGGGTGCATAATTCATTTGGTTATATCTATACATTTAGTTTTACTCCATCTTCGAGGAAAAAATGCGAGGATTCAATCAGTTACTCGATTCCATGGCAGTTAAAAATCGTAATTATAGAAGCTGATGCTTGACAGCGGTAACCATTCATCAACACTAAAAAAAAGTTCGATTGCGTGTGCCGAACTTTTGGTGTTCAAAATCATCAAAATATTCGGTTTATTAAGCAAACATTCAATTCGTATGCTGCCGTGCTAAGCAAGAACGCCGTAAATCCATTAATATTTTTCCTCGTTTTTTGGAACTTAACACTATCTAACATAAAAAACTGTTTAACCCAATCACCTCAAATTTTCAAGCTCAGTTCTTGATAGTATATTTGCGAAAGAATTCTGTAAGAACATTGTCCCAAGGTACACAAATATTTCTGCCATGAAACATTGTTTCCAAAAAAAAGTAAATTGGCGTTTACGGCGTTTTTGCGTTGCACGGCATTATGGTTCGATTTTTTTATCAGTTTTGTTCAATTGAAGAGTTCGATCTAATAAGAAACCGAAGGTATGAATCGACAAACCGAATTTTTCAATCGACGAGGAACACCGAACGCTATCGGGCGTAAATTGATTTTCGCATGAGCCCCAGGAAGCCTAGATTCATATGTAAAACAGGGCTCACGAGGAAATCAAGATACGCCATTAGTCAGATGGGCGACGATTTGCGATCCAACTTTTTTTTCGACTTGGTGAGGAGAATTTTCACGATCAAACACGATACACTTTTTTAAAATAAAATTCGGCTTTTACCAACTTAGCAAACAAAAAAGATGATAGAGATCAACGGTAGATAACTGTTCGCTGCATTTTGACCGTTTAATCTGTCGTTTTAACTGTTTTGACTGACAATTCAGTTTTGAATTTACATTAAAAGGTCAATTCATAAATCGGTAATATGATGCAGACCGTTGCCAGTGGGTTAAATCAAAACTTTACTAGAAGGGAAATTCGTTTCGAGTTTACATCAGTTCCCTGGTAAAAATTGGCGATAGGAGCTGCGTTTCAAAATACTATAGGAGTTCTTATAGCCGACTAAAGAAGGCTATTAAAATCATATCGCTGGCTGTAGAAAGCGGAGCAAATCATATAGCCGAGCTATACGAAGCTATAAAAAAGTATACAGTCGGGCTATAGTTCCTATCGCCGGGCTTTATACTTTATCGCCATTGGCTCTAAAAGGCTATAAGAAATTTTGTAGAAATTTGTGTGCTTTGGAAATCATTAAGTTTGATACGAAACTACCATAATATGTACAAATGCACATTATATTTTCCTTTAAAACATTTTTTTTNTTTTTTTTTTTTTTTTTTTTTTTTTTTTTTTTTTTTTTTTTTTTTTTCATGAACTAAAATGAGAATAGTCCATACCGAGTGTGCAAACATTTCAAAATCATGAGTTGAAAAACGCTGACTCCGCGTGATTATATATTAGAGCCTAACACAAAGTGGAGCGGCGACGCACTGGCGCCTTCAAACCTAACAGGGATACTTTACGCATTGCGCAATGCGTGAAGTATCCCTGTTGGGTTTGTAGGCGCCAATGCGCGTTTCGCACTGGCTGCCCGCCCGCCGCGCCGCGCCGCAGCGTACCACGGCGCTTGAAGCAACTACTTCACACCAGAGGTATTGCACAGTATCATAAGAAATTGAAGGCGCTCCAACATATTAAGAATGACAGGCATACTTCAAGAGTACGGAGCTTTCCTCGCAAAATAAATCAAGATACTACGGCATAAAAAGAGAGCGGTAGTCTAAAAACTAACTAAGTCCTAGTATCCGTATTTAGTAACGTTTAGCATAATCTTTATCGTCTGGCTGTTGCTTAATCGCCATCGGCTATAAAAGGCTATAAGAAATTGTACAGCCGGCTACAGAAGCTATTGGAAATCTTACAGCCGGCTTTAGGTCTATGGTATTTTGGAACACAGATTCTACTGAAAATTTTTACCAGGGTTGGTATTGTCCATCATGTTTGGTCGCGGCAATTCATTTTATTTGCGTTGCTTGGATGATGGCTGTGAACTCGTTCGAAATGAAATTAGGTGACCACGGAGAGACCATAGAGAGGAACGATAAGAACAAATAAATTTAAAATGAGAGTCATAATCATACTTGTTTCTTAAACAGATCCTTTCCTCAGGAGGCCACGGTTCGTTTATTCACTGCTGTGATTAAGGGAGCTTTAAGGAACCTCTTGAAATATCATTATAAAACGGACAATTCGCGGTTCCCCTCACGAAAGAATGTAAGTAGATTTCAATGTTGCCAAATTTCCCCTTGGATATTGAATTTTTACAGTAGAATCTTAGGAATTTCTATCTGAAAATTCCAAAGATTTTTCCCCCGTATCTCGTGCAAATATCCAAATAATTTGGACTCAAATTTCCCAGGGACATTCTTGTATAAAATAAATTTGCTTGAGTCAGTTTTGCAACTTCGGAATATTGCGAGTTATACCACTTTAAGATTCGCGTCTATTTTAAAGTTTGATGAATTATAGAATTTTTTCCTCTGCATTTACTGTCGCACATCATTTTATGACTTGCTAGGATCCATTTCCAAAACCCTGCTGCTGAATTTGATTTAAAGTTAGCAAAATTAGTCTTTTCCATTATGCTATTTTGAGGATCTTTCTGAACCGCCCATAATTTGTTGTTATTCGCACGGAGGAACGTAACTCCACTCCAAAGTTGCCAAATTGACTCCAACAATTAATTTAGTTTACTAAGTTTTACCTGTGCAATTTGTATCAAATATTTTCTTGATTGTTTCATGAAATCCGAGGAAAAATCGGTGATATTTTCAGCTAAGAATGCCCAATATTTTTTTAGTTAATATGCAATTTGCGAGGGTAAGTTTGGCAACATTGAAATGAAGTTACGTTCTTTCGTGGGAGAAACGACGAACTACATAAAAACGGAATGAGGCCCCCTGAGGCAAGAACTGTTTGAGAAAGGACTATTAATACAACTGTAAGTTTAGGTATAAGTTCCCTCTTTTACTTCAAAAACAAACAGAATGAAATATAAAATTGCAGTTGCCCATTAACAGTGAGTTTTTCTAGCTCTGCGCGGATAGAATAAAGCTTTACGCTCCATAAATTTCATGAGGCCTAGAGAATGAGGAGAAATGTCAAAAACAGCTCTGTCTGTTCACTGCTGCACAAGAATTTGAAGGGTGGATACCACTGCCTTACGTAATGCACTTGTGACATTAGTGGCGAGATAATGATCGATTATCGATTTTCCCCTATTTGAGGCTATGGTAAAGAATCGATTGTTAGGGTGTTCGTCGCGAACACCCTGGTTTCTCGATCCTTTTTCATAGGTTTAAATGGCAGATCAATCGATACATCGCAAAGCACGCTACGCCACTACGTGACATACAATTCGATAGTGAGACTGCCAAATCACTCATTTGGGATCGGGACGTTGCCAATTTCCTGTAATATTCTACTTTTTTAATAAGGCCTCATCACCGTTTTCGCAAAAAAATACCAGTCTAGGAAACCTGCGATTGCCGACTGTTTTATAGTGGAATTTGAGAAGTTAATGCATGGAGACATATTACTTGAGACGAGATGAAACGAGAATTGACAATTCAAGAGAAACGCTTGAAAACAAACTCACTAGATTTCATTGTGCAATTGGATTTTTTCTAAGTCCAGTCACGATTCAAGCTACCGCGCCAGCCCACCAGCCACCTAGGTCATCTGCAAAGATGATGAGGCAATGAATGGATTTGCTACATATCTCAAAGGAATAATGGGATTTTGCGTTTCAAAAATCCAACAACTCGATCAATTTGCAGTAACTTCCTGCGCTTACG